TAATGGTATTGTCATTGCAGTCTTTACCATTAGGTCCTTTCAGGGGTGGGATGGACCTTGAGTCTTTTAGTTTGTTGTTTACAAAATTGTAGAAAGCGCAGGTGGAATTGGTGCGTAGAAGGTTTTCCTCTTGTTTAATGTGATAATTGGTGCATTCAGTCTTTATCTGGTAGCATAAATTTTTGTATCGGCTTTTGAAATTGGCAACGTGACCAGATTTATTTTTCTGCCAAAGTGATTTCTTTTTGGATTGAAACTTCCTTATTGTTATGATAATTTGTTGTTGTTGTTTTTTTTGGTTTGGGGAGTTGTTATTGGTACATATAGTTTGATGACTCTTTTGACTTCAAGTAAAAATATGTTGTAATGGTCTTCTACAGTATTGCATCCAGTGAATAGAAATTGCCAATCAAGGGATGAGAGATCGTTGTTTATAAGATCATAGTTGCCTTTTTTGAAGTTATAATTGGGGATTCAGTCATTGTGATGATTTTTGTGTGGATATATGTTGAGACAAAAGTCAATCATGTTTTGGTCACTGTTGGAAAAGCATTCTTTAATTTGTATTCTGTAAACTGAATTCAAACTATTGCAGAAGATAAGATTGAGGCAGTTGTTAAGTCTAGTGTTGTTGGTTACTAGTTGTTCTAGCCCCAGATTTATTACTGCATTGTAGAAGGTTGCATGTGTGGGTTCAGTTGTACGTTCGTTTAGGGTCCAGTTAATATGAGGTAGATTGAAGTCACCAAGAAAGATAAAAGTGTATGGGCAGGATGCTGCCCATGTTAGTAGTGTATTTAGCTTGTTTGCATGTTCAATGCCATAATCAGGGGCTCTGTAACATAGTAAGAACCAAAATGTGATATTTAAGGACAGTTCAGAGATGATGGTCTCAGGAATAGCAAGCTTCTGGGTAACTTGGATGTTTTTTAGATGTAGGGACTTTTTATAGAAGATAGCAACACCACCTCCTCTACGGATTTCATGATCTGATTGGTAAACATGATAGTCTTTTACTGTGTAATGGAGTCAGGGAGAGATGTGTTGAGCCCTGTTTCACAGACAAATATAATGTCGATTTTAGCCGTATTTAGTAAGAGGAAAAATTCAGGTCTTTTATTTACAAGGCTTCTTGCATTGAGTAACTTGCATTTAAGGCCAGTTGTGGTTGGAATAGAGGTAGTTAGGGGTGTGCATGCCTAGTTTTGATGAAGGTGGATTGGATGGAGTGGGTTTGGATGCAGAGTTGTGGGTTGTGTGGCTTTCTTTTGATGCAATCAGCATGGTAGTCAATGTATAGATCCTTTTCTCCATTGTATAGACAGTTTTTGAGTTCTGTGCAGAGTTCACAGAAGAGGATTCTTTGCAGTATGGATAAGTCTGGTCTTGAGTGAAGTTTTTTATGAGTGGGATTGGATTTTGCAATGGCGTTTATTGTATGAATGAATATACGTTTGCTGGACTCATTTTTGCAAACTACTCGATTCTTGGTGCTATAGAGCCGTATTGTATTTGTATTCAGGGCCATCTCTGGTTATTTCAATGATATCTTCAGGATGTTTGTTGTATTTGAGTTGCTTATGATATCGTGAATTTTGGTGATGTCATCTGATTTGTTGGTGTCTTCGAGACCAAATAAGATGGCATTTGGACATTTCTCTTCACATTCCATGATTTCTTTGATGAGTAAGGGGATATTATTTGTGGAATTATTTGATGGGATAGTAATTGTTTGTGGCTGTGGTTTGGTGGTTATTTTTGGTTGCAGTTGTGATTGTAGTTGAGGTAGTGGTTGTGGTAGTTGTGGGATTTGATTTTGAGCTGATAGGTAATCACTTATCTGTGCTGTATTTTTTTTTTTTTCAAGAGAGATTAGGCTTGCTTGTATAGTTGTTTCAAAACGTGTTGCTAAGTGTTCTTCTACTGAGTGAATGAGTGATTCTATGCTTTCAACTCTGTCAGGCAGGATACTCAGTTTGTTTACCTTAGGAAAACATGATGGACATAGACAAAAGAATGTATCTGAATTTTTAACGATATCAGCTAGGCTTTTGTTTGCATTTAAGAAGGCAGGCTGGGCTTGATTGTCGCATAGGCAGCATTTGATTTTACCTGGAACAATTCTACCTTTACCTGATTAACTTCAAGGATCAACTACACAATTATATTTATAGGATTCAGTTGTATTTTTGGCTTTTCATTCATTAATTGTAAATTGTAAATGATTATTACTGATATTACAATACTTGGGGAATGGAAGTTTATTTCGTTTCTCTCCAAATGAGATATAAACAAAAATGACTTTTCTCCTGTATTTATTTATTTATAACATTTATTGGCCACTTATTTTACCACAGCTAACTCTGTATGGCTTGGAGAATATATTTTTTATTTGGCATATTTACATAGCTGCCCATCTCAATGACTTTGGCCAGTGTATAATAATAAAGTAAAACAGTAAATATATAAAACAATTATTATTAAGAAATATAAAACAATCATTATTAAAAATGCAAGTAATCAAATACAGGATAAAGAGTCAATTAATGAAGCTGTCTAAGAATACTCACAATCCTTTGGGGCCTCAGGCTTGAGGATCAAACCAAATCTTGAAGGACTTATAGAATATTATCAGGGATGAAGCTACTCTCAGGTTTTTTGGGGAATGGGGAAAATGAATATTCCATAAGGCAAGTGCTATAGCAGAGAAGGACCTCCCTAGCAGACAGGACCCAAAGCATGCTCTCTCTGCCAGATGTTTCCTTTAGTACCACTGAGAACTTTTCCATTAAGCCTTGCAACTTGGGCTAAAGAAATCTGTTTTCCGCACATGGTAGGCTTCCATTAGTAGTGCCTTCCCTTGGGCTGTGTAATAGATGAAGAGAAAGTCACAACATATGTGGTGCAACATAATTTTGCCCTTGAGCACAATGACAGCTCAGTGCAGAATCCATTCTATCCACAGTAAGATGAGCAGAAGGAATATCTTCTCTGTCTAATGGGCCAATGCTGCTGTCACATCATTGCCTGGCATCGAAGTAATGTACTACTGCCTTGCCAGAGGTTGCCATAAAACAGAGGGGTTCCCTGTGCTTGTCCTGCCTGCAGACTGACAAATGATGGTAGTCAAGAGATTAAAGCTAAAGTGTGATGGGAGATATGTGAACATCTTCTTCCCTTGGGCCAAAACTATTTATAAAATGATAGTGAGAAACATACTGTCAAATGTCTCTTTCATAACATCATCTAACTGCTTAGTATTTGTCTTCTCAAATAGATATTGGTACTTCCTTCAATATAACATTCCAGTTTAAGGATAACTTAAGTAGGTCATTTTTCAAGAGCACCCCTGTTGCTCTGGGTGGAACATGAGAAGCAAAGTTCACAGTAAACCCACATCCTTTGAATGAGTATTTAGCATCAGAACTGCTTTAGATGCCTTCCCCCTATTTTAACTCTTGGAGAGGAAAAAGTGATATTTAAACTGCCTACATCCAGGGTGGAAATGGAAGTTAAATGTATTTAAATACTGTAGAGAATCCAAATATACTGTAAAAACATGATGCTTGCCAGGATCAAAATAGCATTATGCATTAAAATATGTTAAACTTTTGTAAAGCAAAGCACACCTGAAAAATAATTCCCACCCTTTTAAAAATGATATTCTAATTTATAATGCAATGCATTCATAGTTTTTATTCGTAAAATCTAATTTGAAGCAGGCTTTCTTTTTCTTTTCTTTTGGCAGATATTTATCAAATCTACCAAAAGCGACAGATTTTATTTTTCTGGGCTCCAAGATCACCGCAGATGAGTGACCGCAGCCAATAAATTAAAAGATGGTCCTGGGGGTGGGGGAAGCTATGGCAAATCTACACAGCATACTAAAAACATCACCCTACAAACAAAAGTGTCAAGAGTGGTTATGGTCTCAGTTGCAATGTATGGCTGTGAATGTTGGACCATAAGAAAGGCTGAGCATCAAAAATTGAGGCCTTTGAAATATGGTGCTGGAGAAGACTCCCGTGAGTCCCTTGGACTGCAAAGTAATCAAACCAGTCAGTCCTAGAGGAGATCAACCTGACTGCTCTTTAGAAAGTCAGATCCTGAAGATGAAACTCAAATATTTGGCCACCTAATGAGAAGGAAGGACTCACTGGCGAAGAGCCTAATGCTAAGCCTAAGATTGGGGGCAAAAGAAGAAGGGAACGACAAAGAATGAGGTGGCTAGGATGGACTCACTGAAGCAGTAGGCATGAGCTTAAATGGATTCCGGAGGATGGTAGAGGACAGGAAGGCCTGAAGAAACATTATCCATGAGGTTGCAATGGGTTGGACATGACTTCACAACTAACAACCTATGGTAGCTCAGTCTAAAGTATTCTTTCTGCTGGAGTATTAAGTATTTTTCCATATAGTATTTTACTTCAAAACTCCTACTATACTTTTAGATTGTATGATATGATGGATTTACTAAATAATCCACAAATTATAACTGATCATTTAATAACTCTTTGGATTACAAAAGCATTAGAAAGGTTGCTTTACAATCCGTAAAATACTTCTGTCTGTTGCAAAATATTCCTCTCCCTCCATGGGTTGGAAACTGGTTCACCTTTACCACTGGTGGCAGGGTCTGCTACATGGCTGTAATCTGTGACTTTTTTTGGTCATTTTGCAGTTTTTTTATCAGTTCCTGGCCAACCCCCCCCTCCCATTTTTGGAGAATGGGTTCACAATCATTTGATTTACTTAATGATTGTGATTCGAACTTAATACCATGTGATTTTGTAATGACATTTTACAGTATATGAATTATTTTTTATTTTTAAGTGTGGGTCCTCAAATTCTAAGTTCACAGCAGAACTGCAAACCTTCTCCTTTCCTTTAGTTTACATAGAACTAGTGAAGAATCACACATTAAAATGAATTCATTCATCTAATATTTAAGAATAACAGCAGTTACCAAATTACCAAATAATACACAAAACTTATAATACCTTTTTGAATTCACCAGTATTTTTATATTCACATAGCATCATGTCAAAGAATATTGGGATGGTAGCTTTACGCAGTTCAGCTTCAGGGATGAGGGTCATTTCTAAGATTGGCCCAACCATTCCTGGAATAAAGCAGATTTTATTCTGTCCTGGAACAATACAAGAAAAGAAAATTAATAATATCAACAAATGGTGCACCATTATTTCAATACCATTATAACATTTCTATTTCAGTGTTTTATTTTAACTTTCCTTCTGGATTTTAGGGTGGATTTTTTTTTTTTTTGAATGTTGATGATTCAATATTTCTAGTTGAGAAACAAACTATTTACAAAAGAACACCAAACACTTTTTCACATCAGTTTTGTAACTCTTGGATTGTTTACAATGTAATAAAATATTTGTGATGATTTCTGTGATGGAAGAAGCAATGATTCAAAATATGTAAAATATTTAATGCTAAAAATATGTAATGCAGAAACTGAATAAGCAATTACTAAATAAACCAGGTACTCCCGATAGCAGTCAGTTTCTTGGTTCTTTCACTAGTTGCAATTTGATTTCTTGACTTCTGCTTCAATTGAGAGGTCCTTGGTGCTCTCTGAGCTTGCTGATTTTCTTGTGGATGTTTCATTACCCAAACCAGGCAACATATTTAGTGTTAGTAAGGAGTGCAGTTTGCTATCAGGTTATAATCTGGTGTCTTGCTTATTTGTGTGGGTGGGGGAAGTCTTAGAGATTCCTTGGTTGGACTGTTTACTGTTGGCTTCTTTGGCAGTTTCTTGATTGGGGTATTGTTTACTTGATTGTGGAATGGGACAACTTGCCACAGCCAACTTGCTTCGGCCAACTCACCCCAGCCAATTCGCTGCAGAACAACCCACAATGGCCAACTCAATATGGGACAACTTGCTGTGGGACAACTAACAATTTTATTTAATTATTTAAATATATTTTTAAAAATTTTGCCACTCACATTTTATTCTGTCCCTCCTTCTGATTCTTTTTTTAAAATTATTATTCTTCTATTCCACCATTTCTTGATATTAGTGTAAATCTAATAGCACCTTGGAGCTAATCTATGCTGATTTGGGTGCTGATTGCTAGTAAAGAGATGCTTGGGTTATTTTGTTCTCTTTTTGGCTGCTTGATTGTCCCTTTTGCATAGTATGCTTTACTTAGTTATTCTGTTATGGTTAAATTAATAAATTACAACCAGAATGATTTCTTCCCAGTTATTCACCTGTAAGCTACTACCCCACATCATCATGTGCAAAGCACTCAACTCAGGGGTGGGTTTCTACCAGTTCTGTCCTCCTCTGTAGAACTGGTAGCTCTGAAGAGCAGCCGGTTCTATGTCTGTTGATGGTTTTGCTCCCCTGCCCCCCCCCAGGGTCTTACCTGATTTTTATTTCCTGATTTTGCAACTTCAGCTGCCAAACGAGGCCCAGCTGCAGTTTAAAAAGCAGGAAAAGAGGGCTGTTTCAAAGACTGCGTTTCTGCACACAGCATGCTGATGATGATTTACAGGCGTGCAGCTCACAGCGAGCAGGGAAGCTCGCAAATCCCGAACCAGTAGTTAACCCTGTCGTATCCCACCCCTGGCTCAACTATATATGAAACAATTTGAACAAACTGAGATAGGATGATTGATGGATGAATGGATAGATAGATGGATAGATAGATGGATAGATAGATTAGATAGATATAGATAATCAGTGTTTCACAAGTTGGTATTTTGATTTTTTTTCCTGATAGCTGCATTCCCAAGATATCTGGAGAGTGTTAAGTTAGGGATGACAGCTAAATGATATGTAACTCTATTGTCCTTTCTGTGGCAGTATTGCATTATAAGACTTAAGTCTCCACTATTGTTATGGTCGTGTTTCAAGATTGCACTATAATATATTTGTTTACTATTACATACAAAGCATATTGCATATCAGATAACCTAAATGAGTTGGGTGAATGTACACAATCTTATTTTAATGGTTACTGTTCCCAACATTTAATCAATGAATATTCTTGGAAGAGAAAATAATTCTATTTCCTCATTTCTGCCCATCAAAACCAATTTATCAGAGAAAACATTACACTAGCCTCTGATATATTCTCTTGTCTCTGTCACAATTGAAAAAAACACATCTGCTTTCATTCCTAGATGAATAATGCCAACCATTAGAAAGCTCAGAATAGAAATGATGTCCTGGTAACTCCATTATAGATTGGCTGCAGAATGACTTAAAGCCACATGAAATAGAGCGCCACTGGAGTCTGCCTTAGGAAGCATTTGCAATTATGACAGATGATAAAAAGAAGAAGGAAGAAGCTTGTAAATGTCAGCTCCAACAAGAAAAGCAGGCCTTGAAATATTTCTTAGTGATTCCTCAGCCCCGTGTGTGTGTGTGTGTGTGTGTGTGTGTGTGTGTGTGTGTGTGTAAAACAAAGTAAAATTACAATAAGGTACGAAGTATGGGTTGATCACCTTTATAGTTCTCCCTCCTGCAGTACTTAATCATGGGTAATGTTTCAGAGAAGAGAGACGAAAAAGCAGCAGCAGGTATAGGTTTGATTCCCTATATTACATTACAGACAAGCATCTGTCCCAGTAAACAACCAAATGCATGGTGATGAACTCTGAACATTCTTTTGCAAAGTCTAATTTGCCAACTTGACAGTCAACAAATACAGCATTCACATTTGATTAAGTAAAAAAGGGTCATTGCTCAATTTCATTTTAAAGTCTCGCTATAACTAAATCTTGGGTAGCTGTATATTTCCAGTTGCAGAACAATAGATGAAGGGACAACTTAGCTGCCACCAAGCTCCTAATCTTTCAAAAAAATCTTTATTTACAGAAATATGCTATGCAACATCAAGAAAATTGATGGATGCTTCAAAATCTTCCTTTCTTTACCAGCATCACAAAACTTAAAACAGTTGAGTAAACTTTTCCAGTATAATGCATTCTTGTTTTACATACTTAAAACATCTTGTATCATTTTAAAACTATAGCTCATTGTTAAAATCAAATTAGTATGCAAGTATCAATAACGGTGGTCAGCACAAAAATGAAAAATTACAATAGTTTCCATCCACTAAGTAGGAAATTTATCCTTGAGGTAAGAGCCCTGAGAAATTAACAGCTATAATTCTCTAGCCTAAAAAAATAAGAAAGGTATGCCATTCATAGCATCTAAATCTATTGCTTTCAATACTTTCTGGTTAAAATGTGACACTGAGAGAAATTTTAGATATGGTACAAACTCATGTGTGGAATTATAATCTCCCAGAATTTCCACAATAAATAAAATTTGGCATTAGATTTATTTATCAAATATGAGGTTATAACTTCTCCAATGGGAAAATTTCAGTATCCTTGTAGCATGTTAAAGTTAGCCCAGGGTACTAAACTGGAATATGTTTGGTAATATTAATAGAAATTAATGGAAAGAAGGAGGTTAAAAGTCACCTTATTTCAGAAAAGTCATAGCAGGGCGAAACTATGTTTTTATTTCAGGATAGAAATGCAAAAGATATTTGGCTATAACTATCATTGTTTTCAACAGTGTATTGTACTAATAGCTGTTGATTGTTATAAACTGCATTTGGTGACATGGGCAGTTATATAAATATGCTTGCTGAATAAATAAATACTTTTAGAATTTGTCTTATTCCATTAAAAGTCATTTTTCAAAATTATTGAACTTTACAACATTGCCTGCAAACATATGATTTAAGCTGATGGAACTAAGTGTTACAATTATTACATTTCCATTAGTTTAAAAAAAATGAATTATCAGTTTTAGAAATCAATACTGGAGTAATATAACATTGGTAAAACTAATCAATTTTCTCTAAATGTGATATGCTCTGTAAATTTAATATTTTTCTTCCACTGAAATTCTTAAATTGCATACAATTTTATCTATCAAAATATTGCATCAAATTGTTAAAAATATTTTAATCTCTTGTTCTGAGTTTGTTAATTAATACTTGCTGGTTTCTCAACTTTTTAATTTAAGAAAAAAATACAAGTTCTATAAACCTCCTTCTGAGAATTGTAACTCTTTGATGATTTGTAATTGTTCAATAAGTTTACATATGAATAGCGGAAGAAAAATAATACTTTTTTCCTGGAGAAAAATTGTACAACATATAATTAAACATGGTATTCCATTATAATCAAGGGAATTTTTTCAAGTAACTGTAACAGAAGTTCCATCTTTATTCTGTATCAATTTGATATTAAGCAGCCGCTTTTATCATTTTGTTGTGTTTTTCTAATTTCAAGAAAAATGTGACTGTAATGTTGGGTACAATGGCAAAACAGTCTCATCTAACAATGACTATTCTGAAATAACAACATAGATAGGAACAAGAAATAAAATTAAGGCTGATATATGGAAACCTAAATAAACAGATTGTTTTTCCTTTGCATGAAAACAAACAGACACACTTGCTGAAATAAACCTTAGTGGCTGGACATTTGCTTTTCTTGCACAGAAGCTTCCCTTCAAGCTGCAAAATTACCTTGAATTATAATTACAGACCAGCTGTATTATTATTATATGGAGCTGTAATGGACCAGTTCCAATTTGATCCCTGCTGACTTGGCAGTAAATTAATTAAAGTTGAAGCTCAGCTTATTCAACTCTTACTTCCTTGTCCCCGTTGTACATTCTTTCCCTAGGCTTTGACAGTACCGCAACGTATTTACTGTACTTAGAAATTCGGAATCCAAATATTACTCAACAATACATGTTGGTCATTGTATACGTATGAACAAAACAAAAAATGTTGTTAATGTAAAACAGAAGGTATAAATGTTTTAATTGAGAGAAAAAGAGTAGAATCAGCTCTACATTTCTATAACCAAAACTCCTCTCCAGGGATATTCGTATCTCTGGACGGGCGCTCATTTTCTAAACTATCTAACTAACTAAACTAAACTATCACTAAAAAAAAGACATTCTCTAAAACTGATATCCAGGAATGTTATTTCCTTTACCCAGGATGATCCATGTGAAGGGCGGTTTTTATAACTATAAAGTTAGTAGTGATCACAATCCCTCTTGCTAAAAATGAAAGGTCTTTGCCTAGTCCTCTTTGTACTTTTTTCAGTGTATCTCCTTGTTCCAGTTCTTAATCATATTGAATAATGTTGCATGTGTAGAAATGTCTATGATGCTATCTGCCAGACATTCAGGCACACATCTTGTAAATAAGATGACAGATATTTCATGAGACAAGATAAATGTAATAAAAACAATTTTAATAAAATGGAACATCTCATTAGAAAAGGTCTCCATCAGAATCAGAAGAACCCATCGTTGCTTTCAAATACTCTAACTTACCAAGTTTGTACCACATGTCACGGATAGCAAAACCAATTAAACGTCTCATGTCTCCATATCTGAAAGGTAAAGCAGAAGTCATTATCTTAATCCCAGCTTTCTTGTCTAAATGAGAAGCAAAAATCACTTTTCAATGATTAAAAACAAGACCTACTTGTTCAGGATCTTAATGCATTTACCATGGGAGAATTGCTCTAGCTGCAAGGTGTCCTGGGTGATAAAAGCCACTGCAAGATGAAAATAGTTGTTCCAGAGCTGTAAATTGAGCAGAAGACAGAACACTGAATTGTTATAATGCATCTCTTCTGAAATGGAAGGTTGTATTAAGCTGTGTGAAACCTAAATAATTTATGAAGGCAGCCAGCAAAAAGGATTTAATATGATGCAAAGTTATGTGCTATTATTACATTGCAATTAGAATAAAAAGACGAGAGTGCGGTTTTTATATTCACTGGCCTGCATTCCCTGAGTAGCATCTGGAGATTCACATAAACAATAAAGTTACCGCACTAAAGTTAGCTGATAACTTTTCATACACCAGGTTCAGAATAATTTTCCATTTCCAACCAAGGAATGTAGCTTTAGAGCTAAAAATTATAATATCATAAGTTCTTCATAATTGCTTCATGGGAAAAAATCTCCTTGATTTTAACAAAATTAAATTCCCAAAAATATATATGGAATAAGGCCAAAAATAATCTATTATTTTTAACCTCAAGAATTATATTATGAAGCTGTGAAGAGTTCTGGATTTTCATCTGGATTTTGTAGCTATGAATAAAATGTTGGCGACTGCGTCCGGGTCCGATGCGCA